CCTGGTGCCAAAGATCCACTACACGATGGATAACTGAAAGGTAAAAGTAAATAGATTATTTAATAACTCTTTTTTAATTATGGTTAACCGCAAAAATGGCTACGTTTTATATACTTTTGTCCACGGCTGTTAAATAATGTATCCATTATGTATGTGTTTCCTCAAGAATAATGCTATCCATTATTAACTAGTGAATGATGATTTCATTATTCACTAGTGAATAATGGGTACATTCACATGATTAGACGATACGCGTGGTGAAGGGGGATTCTACAGCGTGCGCCAGAAAAGAGCCGTTCGTCCATCTCGAAGGCGCCCCTCGGGCGGGCTTTGGGCGCCGTTTTTTCACGAGGTCGTCTTTGCGATTTTTTTTCGCGATTTTCGATGCCCGCGCCGAAGCTCTACGACGTATATTAAGAAAGTTATCGGCCTACAACGGGAACGGACCCGCGTTTGGGCCACCCGCGTCACGCGAAAATTCTGAAGTTTCTAAACGTGAAATTAATTAATTTGTCAACGGCTAACCTCGAAATCGAAATCGCCAAGTTTGTACGTTCATTACCGGTAAGATTCGCACACCCGAAGTCGCGGAAGGGTCCTTCACGATGAATTTCGGAACGGCTAAAACCCCGATTGCCATCGCGGGAGCCGACAAGAGTGAAAAATCACAAATAACCGTGTTCGGCAGATAACCTCAATTCTGCAGTCGACCATCAACACTATGAAGCAAGCAGAGTGCTAACCTGAATTAGAGACTGTGTCATTTTGACGTGTGTGTGTTATTTATAGACAACACATTGTTCTAATGTTAATATAACTTTTAATATAAGTAAGTAGCTAGTAATAATATTTTTTAATAGATACATTGTTAATAAATAAATAAAGTGTGCTAAAGTTGTAAAATGTAATTATTTTTTTAATAAAACTAAACATTTATATTATTTAATAGCCGTGGACAAAAGTATATATTCTACTCGCATATAATGGCTTTTATTCACTCGGGTGATTTACGACACTCGCTTACGGCTCGCGTCGTAAACAACACCCTCATAAATAATAGCCATCATCATATGCTCGTTGAATAATATACTATTCTTAGCTTCATACTATTCTTACTATTCTATATACTATATACTATTCTTAGTCCATGACAGTTTGTAAAACTAATATTGTATACAAATGAATTAATTTGGTGTTCACGGGGGTTTTGTCAGCAATGTTGTAAAAATCACGACTAGTAAAGTATCCCCATTGTTTGAGATGCAGAAAAATTTCGCAAAGGAAATTTGTTATAGAAAGTAATTTTTATACATCCATACAAAATTTCAGGGAACATAAAACCACCTTAATTTTTTTGCTAAAATAATGGAAAATTCGTTTAATCTCCGTACATTTCTAAACGGTTTGTATGTTGATCGTTGAATCCTCTAGCTAGTTCCGGCAACGTTTAATGTCAAGTTAGACAAACGTTGTAATATATGGTAATACTACAAACAGACTAATAGCCCAGGAGTCCAAACCAGAAGCCTTATTATATGGTTTTCAAACAGATGAAATAGGGGATCGTAATACAAATTATCCATTTTGGACGTACTATGAGATGCAACCGTGACATGAATGTCCCCAAATTAGTTTTCACAGCTTTCATTGAGGTGGGTTGCGTTAATAAAATATTGCGTAAATTAAAAAAAATAAATAAATCGAATCTAAAATTTTACGCAATATCTAGTTTACGTGCTTTTGCAAATAAATACTTTTGTTTCATGAACATAATTCCTAATAGATTCATGTAAGTACTTTCAATGGGTCTAATATAACTATAATATAATTAATAATATAAAATTATTACCTCGTGTCGATTCTATTCCATCACATTTTTCTATTTAATCAATATTTTATTCCTTTATATTTCAAAGTCCTTTGTCGCAAATTATAAAATTATTGTAAACCAAATTTATTAGAAACACCTGCAAGGGGTGCAGGGGATGCAGAGCACAATCAAATCTATCAAAACACTTTGAATATTATTTGTCTGTTGTGGGCAAAAGCAAACTCACACAATATTACCGTTAAAGCTGCGTTATCAGGGCAAGTAGCTGGGTTCCATAATTCACTTTTTTCTTTTGTATTAATTTTGAAAAATTACGCAGTGGAATTGCGATTTCTTCTTAACAGTTGTATTAAGAAGACTCTAACATTTTTATTGAATTACTTTACAATCCCACCCCCATTACTTTCAAAGTATTGTTCATAATCACGATGTAATAGAATCGAAAATTCTTCTTAGAATGGAGATAAGGGGACTTAAAGTGAGGTGCTAGTTCATCTTATATGGTGTAAAAAAATTTTGTAATAAGCCAAACTATTTTGCTTATCGAAAAAGTAGATCCGTTACTAAATAGTACATAAAACATTAATTTTCTGTAAATTAAAAGACAATTTGCAAAAATGGCTATCTACTAGCGTTTTTGCAACAGATTAGGTCACAAGTTGCAGGAAAGTGGAAGAAAACACGTTGCATCCCAAAATTTACAATATTCATTTTGGCTACATTGTATCTCATATCCCACGACGTTGACGGTTAGTTGACAGATACTCCAATAGTGGAGTCCCTCACTGGTAGATGGTGGCAATTTTGTGACCAGGACGGGATTTATAAATTTTGGGAACCCAAGATATGCCATGTAGACTTTTTGTGATGTATAATGTGAACGCTTTTCAATATGCAACACAAAAGTAACAAGAAACGTTGGTAGTTATATCGAACGACGGACCTGTCGCGTATAGCGAAGAGTTACTCCACAGTTATTTGTAATTTATTTAGTCGATAAAATATATCGACTGAGAATTTTTAGATAACAAGCGACTTTGGCGTGCAAACGCACCCTTAAGTACTCTACTAAATTACTGCCTCGTGTCAATGTGCCTTCAGATTACTTATTTTAACAATTTCGTCAATTTCATTTCAATTTAGACCTGCCCGTATACACTTCGATTACCATTTTGCATTGGATAGAGTGGTGACCAATGTTGAAGGATATCGTATAATAAGCTAAGCATATTATTTCACCAATTTACATCATCTATGGAAAAACTTCGTATTGGGTTGTTTTGATGATGTAATGAGTTCACTACATTCTTGACTGAATTTTTAGGAAAAATACATATTAGTCGTCTTTTACAAACCACGGAAAGGTTAATCGACACAACATTCAATATTGGAGTGTTGAAAATCCGCATTGGCTTTGCCAAGTTGAACATCAGCGCCCTTAGACTATCAACGTGTATTGTGGAATATTATTGAAGGTAACCTGAATGGTCAAATGTACCGATACATTTTGAAAAATGAACTGCCTACAGTACTTGAAGACTTGCATGAGCTTAGAAGTACGACATTACATGTGCCATCAACACGATGGTTGTTCAGCACACTATTCGGTGGTAGCACGAGAAGTGCTTGATCCTGATTTCGATGGTCGCTGGATCGGTGGAGCTGGTCCGGTAAATTAGCCGGTCAGATCACCAGATCTTACTTCGCCAAATTTATTTTTGTGGGGCTATCTCAAAGACAAATTCTATAAATAAGTGCCAACAATACGTGAGAATATGATTGAGCAAATCAAAAATGCTTGTGCTGAAACTCAAGCAGACACAATACTCAGTTGCCCACTGTGTTTTGAAATGCGGATTATGTGCATTGAAGTCGAAGGCCACCATTTTGAGCACTTACTTTGAGTGAAGTATGATGATGAGGCAAAAGGATTCATATACATCAAGCACTTGGATGAGTGAGAGGCGAAGGGACTAACTCAAGCACTCTGATATAGCTGAGAGATGTGGGGAGTTACCTTAATCAAGCACCTAGAAGGAATCAGAAAACTACTAGCTACATCTATGTCGTTATTCCTGGGTTAGGTTACGCTAAAAGTGGTTAATTCACCAGCCATTTACATTTTTACGGGTAACAATTTTCCAGTTATTTCAAAACGAATAATTTTTTATTCATTTTGTTTATTTATAATGAAAATTTACTATTTTTGTAATGCAAATCTATTATAGAACGCCTCACCTACAGGGAGCGGTGGAGGTGGACTAATTTTAGTAAGTATTATTGCATTTCCCGCGCTAAATGATTAAATTTTTGGTTATACGTATTTTTTATGTACCTATTTCTCGAGATATTTAAGTTTCAGGCTAAAAAGGTCACCCGGTATATGGATTTAATATTTTTTTTTTTTTTTTACAATTTACAATATCACTGATTAATGTTGTAGTTCACGGTAGAGATGCAGTACCTAGTAATAATTCGACCTGAATGCTCTAAATTGGTTGGCTTGAATATTCACATGCAGCTATTCGGCTATTCTATATTATCCCAACAGATTTATCATGCCCCTGGTCTATAATTAATTCCGATGGGAAAGCAAATTAATCTCAGTAAATATCATATGCTAAACACAAGTCGGTCACAGAAGGGAAAAGGGTCGTCCGATATAATTGTTTTAGCGCCTAAAATTTGCTTTTGTTAGAAAGTAACTAACACAATAACACAATCATAACAAAAACATAACAAAAAAGCAGTCTAAAGTAAAAATAACACTTAATTTTTTATCACTCATATTTAACACAAAAAGACAGGAATACGGAAACAGTTGTTTGTATAAATACAAGCGACTGATAACTATATAAACGACTAATGCGTAGTACGAGTTCATGCCTAATATTTTAATATTTTATTACATTTTTGTAGGCTCCCTCGCGGATAGGTATCTACGAGTAGTTACGCCACTCGATAACTGATACCGAGTAAGTATTTATTATAATAAATGAGCGTTATTTGTATAGCGTAGGTATTTATTTTTAATCATGCATTTCTATGAATTAACTGGAAAGAACGATCTGTAGCGTGAATATAATAGCCAAGATTTAAATTATTTTTTCTCAGTAAAAAATTATCCGAATTGTACATGGTATACTTGTTTACCAACTTCGCTTTCACTGGGGATATAGCTCAGTGGTAGAGCATCACTGCAGATCGAGAGGTCCCTGGTTCAAAACCCGGTGTCCCCTAACTTTTTTTTTGACACGCACCTTAGTACTGTATTAGTTACGGCATAAATTATACGGACCAATGGCGTTTCATGAATTTTTTAATTTCAACCAATGATAATAGTTTTATACTGAATACACATAAGCTAGCTTTTGCTAAAATTTAACAGCGATTATTTCAAATTGTAACTTGACCAATTCGATCACAAAATTGTTATTGCGCTCGTGATTATTTGATAATATCCGGAATTCTACCAGAATCGACTCGAGCATCGATAAAATACAAATAACCTAACCCAACAACCTAAAAACGTTTTTTTTACCCTTCGTTAGTCGCGTATGTATCTGACAGATACATGCCTAATATTTATGTAAATTTCTTAAAAAACGGTTAACTCTAGATTTTCATGGTTCGTAGTAGTCCCCGGGCGATCTATATGGAAGGCTTTCCTAGAATTATACGTCCATAATGTTACTTGGAATTTTCTTATCTACAAAAATCCGCCCGGGCGCTAGTGTTTGTACCTGCTGGCACTTCAGGACCAGCAGCCAAAAAAAAGAAAAAGATATCAGCCATGCTATATTAATGATAAGAAAATTAATTTTCTGCATATAAATGTGAAAAAAAAACTCATTTATGTTTAAAATTGCATCTTAGGGCTATATGTGACAAATGTCTGAATCGAGACTCAGATAACAATTCTTTTGAATAAACTCTGAATTTCTGTCATTTTGTTTTGAGTTAAATTTATTTTATATTCATGTACTTGGTTAAAAGTAAAAATAAATAAATAACCATATTACAAGATCGTATATTTTCATTAAAAAACAATGTATTCTCTTACATGTATCTGTGAGATACAATGCGACCAACGATGTTATGAATACCTCTACGCGCCTAACGAAGGGTTAAATATGTTTTTAATATTATTATCCAATTTGGTGCCCAAACAAATCTAAATTTGTCTTTTGGTGTCTTAAAAAACCGAAAAAAATATTCGTGTAATGCATCAATAGAAAGGGAAATGAATACTACAAAAACTGCATAAGTTAATGTGAAACACCCTGTATAACTGGGAAGGATAAAACTGGGAAGGCTAAAGGGAGTTTGGCACCAATAGTTACAATTTCCAACGTACTTAACCAGTGTCGTAGAGTATTTTATCAGGGGGGGCAATGGGGGCAATCCCCTCCTCTTCCGACCGTCGACCACCAAACATTCCCCCTTACTTTTTTGCCCCCCCCCCCCCCGGTACAAAGGCTGGATACGCCACTGTATTTTATTAATACACCTTTGTTGCAAATTATACGCAAGTTGCAAGTTATAAAATTACAAATTTCTTACGCTTGCGATATTAAAAAGTTAAGTAGGCACCTTTTTGTTCTAATACGAAAACAAAGACATATAATAACTCATTTGTTACAACTGATGCAGAAACAACCAATAAAAACTAAGTTGCAAATGATGTAAAATTCAAAGCCGCGTCTGAAATGGCAAACAGTTTTATGAATATTAAATAGACGATTTATATTTAAATTTGTCATTCTTTCATGCTAATGATGTATCGGGTTTGGAACTTAAAATGGACTGCAGTAGAGATAAAACATAAGGATTGTTCGAGGGTCTGAGAAATCTGAGAAGTACTACAGCCTAAGCTCCAAGCAATGGAAAACAACATAATATTTCAAACATTGGCGCCCGCAGAATTTATTTTCCCAGGGGGGGGAGCCAATTGATCGGAAGATACTGGGAAAGTATTTATTTTGCTACACCTTGGGGCCGAATTTATAAAAAAAATAACGGAGGGTATAATTGGCGAATATTTTGTGTTTTTCGGGGCCAAACGCTATAAAATGAATTTTTTCCTTTTCGAGCTATAAAATGTATTTATCTCCAACCGCCAGTAAAGCCATGCATTACCATAGTGATTTTCGGAGGTAAACAAACACTTTATTGTACTGTAAAATCAAGTATTTTACCTTGCCGCAAATATATATTATATAGCCATGACTGAATGACATTAAACAAAAATTATTGTTTTTCGCTGTCACATTCGTTGTCACAGTTGAAAGTAAAGTTGCGTCGCAAATATTTGTAAGTAATTATGGAAGAAGACATTCAGTGCACGCCGCCTGAAATTAGAGAAAAGTCGTTAGAAACGGCTTTTAAAATACTACCCCAAAATCAGTCGAAAAATACAATCGCCAATATGAGATATTCATGGAATGGTGCAAGAAACACGGCATAAACAAATATAGTAGAAACGTTCTAATTTTTTATTATTAGTATTTTTTACGGTTGGAGATAAAATGTTGTATGCACCACGTCAGTAAAGTATCTTTATTGGACTCGCGTGTTATTCGCCTCCTGCTTCGCTCGCTCGGCTCGCAACCCTCCAAAGGCTCGTTCAATAAAGAATCACTTTACTGACTTGGTACATACATAACTATTATTCATGGCCGGATTAAGCTTTCATCGGCCCGGGGCTATTAAAGTTTTAAGCGGCCCTTTTATAAATAAAATGCAATAAAATAGAAAAAACCTATATTCCCGATATGACAAAATACACTGTTATACATATTTTACAAAAAAATACGTAGATCAAAATACCTTTTTTCGTAACTTAAATTTAACAAATTCTTGTATAAAATCGTCAAATTCTAATTCCTCCAGAACACCCCTTTCTATGTATGTACATCAATGTTTATGAAGACAGGCGTTCCTTCTGCATTGTTGTTCTATATTTATTTTTAATGTAAACCAGTTTTGAAAAAGAACTCACAATAATTAGCTATAGGTATTTTAATATTAATCCAAATAACTTTCTAACATCTAAATATGCATTACAATGTCTGTAATTAATTGACCAGCTTGTCTATTATGACTAAAAAGGTTTGTGTTTGAAATATAAATTTCTCATTTAAAGGCTACCGTGGGGTGCCTGTTTCTTTTTGGCGTTTAAATCTGCCCATAGAATACTCATAGGTATTATCCTTCTATGGTAGTAAATTTGTAGCTTAATGGACCAGAATTAAATTGGACACATAATTGGCCTTTAATGGACAGACTCAAAGTGAAGACTGAAGAAAAAAAAGATTAAGAAGTCTGAAAACTTAGGTACAGTAGTAAAGTAATATTTTTAATTTTATCACAGGTCACACATACACATTTTACACATTGTGTTTGTTTTATCTATCTTGTGCTAATGATTTGCGATGCGGCGGTCTTTCACTATCGCCTTTGGTGTCGCCGCCGCCGCGTCGCACGAGCACTTGTCGGCGCTTTTCGGAAGGTATTATGGTTTTGCTTGATATTTTGAAACATGCCCCTGTCTAGAAAGTATAGCTTACTATTTTTGCTTTACCTAGTGATTGTTGACTGGCTCCAAATCAAAAATTATGATTAGTTGTTAAAAATCAATTGGATTATTCGGTTGAAATTTTGAGAAACGTGATGCGAAAAAAGTAGTGCGTTTATTCCTTGCTTACGGGACCTACCAGAATAAGCCCCAACGCCTAACGCATGTTTTGCAAAAGGAAGGCCTCGGCGGGGCCCCACTGAATCGCGGGGCCCGGGGCTCCAGCCCCCTTTAGCCCCCCCCCCCCGTTAATCCAGGCATGAATGAACTTATGCGTGTGAATAACACGTTTTTAATGAGTGGTACATATAAGTAAAATCTTTTTCCAACACGCACGAACGTAATTTAAAATTTTCTGTAACCATTATATAAAATTCGACCCATAATTCTTATGATGGTTGAGATCACAGTATTCTAAACAACTAGTACCGAAGCTTCGGCGAATTAAAAATTAAAAGTCTCGGTTGTATCTTTACAGCCCAATAAGGATTCTCAATGGGCTGTATAATAGGAAAATAAGTTATAATTAAGATTCTCCAAAGAAGACGTAAAGTATACGTCGATACGTCGGCTTTTTAATAACGTCTTGTTTTGTTTTATCGCTTGTCCTCTGTCCCGATACCTGTCATTACTCAATGTAAAGACGCTAAAGCCGGTAATTGTTTATTGCTAGTTAAACTAACAACGTTAAACAAAAATGACAATATTCCCTCGCTAAGAAATTTTAATATAGAAGTAGGTAAAATGCAGCGGTCAGAATATTCCCAAAATTATGTATGTACACGAAAAATGTAACTGAAATCAATGCTCCATGTATATTTTTTTAGTCAATACGCATACAATTTGTTCTGTTTGGTTTTTAGTGTTAATGAGCTCAGAGGTTCCGTATGACTTTTTTTATAGAATTTATACATATAGTTTATAATTTATATGTATCATCTTCTTCTCGCTAAACTGAGGTCTATTTTTGAACCACAATAATAAATAAATAATCTGCTTCTTTTAGAGACTCTCTCACGACTATTAGCTGTATTATTGAATGCCGTTACATAAATTGTGAATCTCATTGCTACAAGTACCACATGTTACCGACGAATTGCACGATCAAAAGAAAGTCTCCTTTTCCTTTCACTCGGGTTGAAGCATTTAAAATGACCTTTTGACACTTAACTCGTCTGTTACTTTCTCGGACATAATGGCATAAGAGCAGCGTATCTTGATTTTAAATTACATACAGCAATACGTAACTGAACGAAGTACA